GCCGCTGGGCCTTTGACGTCGCAAAGTGCGTCCTTCCTTCGCCTCTATGTGGTTAGGCGCGTCTAAAGCGTCGATTAAGTGGGGTTCGTCGACAATGAGGGTCGGCGACTCTTTTTTAACGATGCAGTCTGCGGGTGGTTCACATGTAATACAGTCCATATATACTTAGGGTAATTAGTAATCCTCCAAAGAATGCTGCTGCGTAGGCTATCATATATCAGATTGAAGGAATCCCTTATTATTATTAAGATCTTATTAGGGCCTCGGAAACTATTTTGAAAGGAGTCTTATTATTATTCATTATTTATTAAGGGGTACGGAAACTATTTTAAAGGAAGGCTTATTATTATTCAAATATTATTAAGAGGAAAGTTCTTATTATCCTTAAATAAGATCTTAATAATAATAATAAGGACATCCTTGAAATAGTTTCCGGGGGCCCTAATAAGATCTTAATAATAATAAGACTCCTTTCAAAATAGTTTCCAACCTACCATAATAAATAATGAATAAAAATAAGGGATGTCTCAGAATAGTTTCCCAGACATCCCTAGTAACCCTCTAATCGCGACCTTCCACAGCGTTAGCATGCCTTTTCTTAATGCGTTCCATGTGCTCTTTGAACGTAATGGGGTCCGCCTGCACGTATAAGCACTGCCAAATATGTTGACTGTCCCTCCTACATCCGCAGCGTTTGCAGTCTGCTTCCCAATATGCCCTATCTTCCTAGCGCACGCCTTCCGCGCGGTCAAACATAGCAAAGCGCATGTCGATCTTCTTCTTTCGACGTATTAACTCCAACTTGGTCTCCTCAGGGCAGCAGCGCGCCACGATATCGCCGTGGTACTCACACGCTACGCCGTCTAATTCATACCGCGTTAAACAGCGGAAACGATGCCAATCCTCTTCTTTATCCTCCTCGCAGCGCTCGCAAATGTTGTTCAGACACACCCTGTTCTCCACATGGTACTTTAACATCTGCTTGCTGCTGAACAGACGATCGCAGTGTTCGCAGCGCTTCTCCCGCAGCTTCCTACAGACCTTCTTTTCGACATGGTATTTTAACATTTGCTTAGAGCTGAACTCCTTGTTGCAGTGTGTGCACTCCATATATAATAAGAATTTAATAACCTTATATGGGATACCTCATGAAGTCCACGACGGACTCCTTAGCCCACGTTGCCATAGTTATCAGCGCGCCAAACCGCTCTGCGCGCTTTAGGCCGCACATTTCCTCATATAGCTCCTTTACGCGTTCATTCAGCCGGTCTATCTCCTCCCTTTGCATCTCTACCATCCTCTCTAGGTTTGACTTTTCTTTGACGACGTTAACCATTGCTTTGACTGCTTCCACGGGCTCCATATATAAATATAATGAACCCGAATCACATGCCTTGTAACGCTCTGATAGTAGGACCCACAGGCTGCGGAAAGACCCAATTCGTAGTAGAGCAGCTATTAGGACCCTTTAGATACCGATT